TTATCTTCCTTTTTCTTCTCTTTCTGATTTTTGGTCATTCGTTGTGGTAAATAGCCTTTTTGCCCTCAAGCTTCTGTTCCAAGTGGGGTTATGGGAGAGACAAAGAGAAAGCCGCATATCTCCATATAACAAAAAGAATTTTTTTAGTTTGGATAAACCATAAAAACAAACAAGGCTGGGGAGGTACCTAACAAATTTCCTATTTCAGTAATACGGAGGTAGATTACTGTGAACAATGTCAGTCACCAACAAAAGTTTACCTTTGCTCATTTAAGTGTGATCCACCTAAGTTTTTGTCAAAAATGAGAATGACAGCTTTGGGATGTGGTACTGGGAAGGCATAACACAGAGACCAATACTCAGGCAGAAGCAGGACATAACTCAGGAAAGTGCACCAACTTAGAAGACAGTGTTTCAATGGCCATTCCCAAACCATAGGTTGGGTTGTTCAAAAATAACTGAAATGGCTAATAAAGAGTGGATTTAGGTAGTCATGGCAGCATTCCAACCCAGTCCTACAGGGACAGCCTTGGTTCAGCACAGTAAGTCATGTGTTGAAAGCAATTCTTTTGTTTTGTTGAGACAAGAGTCTCCCTATGCATTTCATGTTGGCCTGGAACTCTGTGATCCTCTTGCTTCAGCCTCCCTAGTGCTGCAATTGCAGGCATTGTCACCACATCTAGCTTGAAAACTTGAATTGCAGTCCTGCCATTTAGTAGCTATTACCCACTCGATTGCTGGAATGGTGTCCCATGGTGTCCCATGGTGATGAAGAATGAGACCGTGCACAGAGGTCTAGGATATAAGCAAATTTATTTAAAAGATAAAAAATGCAAGAAACCCAAGTTCCCGAGTTTGCCCTGGTACCAGAAAAAAAAAAAAAAGGCAAGAAAATAAAAGATATAAATGCAAGGAAGTACAGTTCCAGCTAGCCTGGAGGGGGTTCACATGAAGTAGCATTCCCATCAGGGATCTTTGTCTAGGGGTTTTTAAGTATATTAGAAGGGAGCGGTGGCCATTGTGTAATAATGTAACCTTTATCCTATAGGACACTACATGCTTTTTAGGGTCTGATCAATGTAATGTGCATGCAGCATCCATGCAAGCCCATGCACCTTTGAGCCAAGGGCCTGCCTGATCAGGCTTTGGGTGTGGGGGCCAGTCCCAGACAGATAAAGAACATTCTGCAGATATTCAGTAAGACCTTGGATAATCATGACTCAGCAGACTCCATTTTGGGGCCACTATCCTAATAGAATCTTAACTAATTCCTGTTACATAGCTTTGTGTCTTTAACTTTTTCATGCCTTAGTTTCTTTATCCATAAAATGATAGCTTATCTCACAGATTTGTTAGGAGGTCAGCACTCACAAGTGTCTGGTTTACCCTATAAGCAAATGCTTAGCAATTTAGAAATTTTAAAATTGGATAGTGCTAGGCATGGTGGCACACGCATATAATCCCAGCACTTGGGAGGCTGAAGTAGGATCGCCTTGAGTTTGAGGCCAGCCTGGGTCCCAGTTAGTTCAAGGTTAGCCTGAACTACACAGTTCAAGGTCTGTCTCAAAAGCCTATGTCCCCTCAAAAGGACAGTGATGGAGATGATGGAATTCATTGGCAGGATTTAACTGGATATAGATGAAAGAGAATGGGAGTCAAGAAAAGTTTTCCAGCTTAGGTAGCTGGACGGATGGTGTCACTCAGGAGAGTGGCTAGCAGAGCTGCCACTGGAGGCAGGAAGGATGCCAGTCCTATAGTAAAAACTGTCATATGTGGTAACACCAAAGACAGGAAATGCAAGTTTGAAAGGCTCCCAAACAATACTCCACCCTCAGGACCCTCAAACTGTCTTCTTCATAATACAGTTACCAAACAGTCACTTCTGATTGGAAGTGCTTCCTACAGTTTTCCTTTCCCTATTTCACTCCTTTATATATTAATCTCTACATATTCGCTGTACAGAGGTTTCTCAAGATTCTAGAATTCTATTCAATGTCTGACCAGCTGGGACCTGCCTTGCACAGTATTTTATTTTTTGAGACAAGGTCTTGCTGTGTAGTTTAAGCTGGTTGTGAACTATGTAGTTCATGCTGGCCTTGAACATGCAGCAATCCTCCTGCCTGCTTCCTAAGTGCTGGGATTCAGGTGTGCACCAACATGCCTGGCCTTTCACAGTACGTTTCTTTGCAGTACCAGGACCTTGTGCTTATGAGGCAGGTGCCATGCCACTGAGCCAAATCCCTGGCCCATTTCACAGTATTTTAAAGTTCGTTTTTGTAGTACTGTGGCTTGAACCCAGGGTCTTCAGAGCTACATCTCCAGCCTTTATTGAGACAGGGTCTTCACACTAAATTGCTCAAACTTGTGATTTCCCTGCCTCATCCTCCCAGAATGCTACCATTGTGTGCACCAGGAAATCTGGCTAGAGAATTATTTTTTGTGGTATTGGAGACTGTGAACCCACCTCCTTTGAATTTAGCCACATCCGTAGTTCATACCTCCCTTTTAAATTTGAGACAGGGCCTTGCTAAGTCAACAAATTGCCTATGGTAGGCTCTGTTTTGTGCATTACAGGGATTATACTCAGGATCCTGTACTTGTGAAGCAGGTACTGCTGCTGAGCTAAATCCCTTCCTCCGCCTCCCAACATGCTGGGATTACAGGTGTGTACCATGCCCAGCCACCACCTCAGTTTTTACATTAAAACAAACAAAAAATTCAGCTGGATGTGGTTATTTGTAATCCAGCTACTTGGAAGCTGAGGCAGGAGGTTCTCCAGTCTTTGGCCAGTTTGAGACTGTGACTGTCTTAAAAAAAACAAAAAAGCCAGGGACTTAGCCCAGTGGTGCTGCCACCTGCCTCACAAGTACAAGGTCCTGAGTTCAAATCCTAATACAACAAAAAAAAGTAAAAGTAAACAAAATGAATTTCTTTGGTTGTACTGGCCACATTTCATGTGTTCATACAGGGCAGTGTGATGATAGATAATCTTTAATCAAACATTTTCCTCTATACCAGTGGCAGCGAATTTAAGGAACACATTTTAAGACAAAACATGTTAATGCAGGAACTATTTTTTTCTAAACTAAAACCACAAGATTCACATTTATTCAAGTGTTTGCACTTTGCAATAAGTGAGTTTTGGGTTGCAGTTTGGGCACTCATCTCTAAAAGGTTTGCCATCACCAGTCTTTATCTTTTTATATTTTCTCATTTCCTGTTTCTGAAACCCAGATATTAGGTCAATGATGACCTTAACTCTTAAGTTGCTTAAATTCTTCTAATCAAAAACTGAGAGGTAAATAATACAATGACCTGTTGGTTTTAAAGATCCTATATTTAAACATACTAAGATGCAATTTCCAATGACCCCACCCAACGAATTAACTTTGGAATGTTTTGAAAGTGCCATATGTACGATGGTGGTACAAGAAAAGCAGCTGATGCTACATGAGGGCCTTGATACCTACCTGTAAAAGACTGAAACCTCCCCTTCAAGAGGGCCAGAGATTTAGCTGAGTGGCACCATGTTTGCCTTGCAAGAGCTAGAGTTTGATACCTCGTACCTGTGATCTCAGCATTAAGAGGCTACTAGCTACAGGACAGCCTGGGCTATGATTGTCAATACAAGGGGAGCTTGAACTACATATTGAGATACTGTCTGAAAACAGAGAAACAAAGCAAAAATACAAGAGATGAAGTTTAGTCAGGTGTGGTGCCAGGCTGACTCCGACCTGAGACTGAACTGGAGCTACTGAGCCTAGCTACTTCCAGATTCCTGATCCACAGAAAGTTTTCCCCCCAGTACTGCAGATGTGCGGAACCACTGAACTAAATCCCCTGTCCAGAAATTCTTGAGATACGTTTCTTTTAAACTGCCAAGTTTATGGGTCATGTGTTATGTATGCAGCACAGATTAAGGCTTATAGCTTGAAAAGCTTCCCACTATCTGGAGAAGGATAAATGAAATAAGATTTTTTAACCAAGCAGCTCAGAACTAGCATATCCCCCCACTTTTTATTGGTACCAGGGATTGAACTTGGGTCCTTGTGCTTACAAGGCAGGTGGTGGTACCACTAGGCTAAATCCCTGGCCCCAATAATATGTTTTTAGGGCTGGGGATTTAACTCAGTGGTTCTGCTGCCTGCCTCACAAGCACAAGGACTGAGTTCAATCCTTGGTACCAAACAAACAAAAAACAAAACAAAAAAATGTTTTTAGAAGAGATGTGATTATTAAAGTCATGCTGTTATTGCTCAAATGATTTTTGAAATTAATACTCAGAGTATGAATCTTACTTGTTGAAATTTCTGTAGTGGTGCCAACTCAACATTTAAAAGTACCCCTGTTATGTGTAGTAAATCTTGTGGCGAATAAATAAATTTGTCCCTTACAGTGGACCAAGCTTAAGGCGTACTTCTAAAGTAAAAAGCTTAACTTTGTGGTGCAGAAACATGCCAGGACACATCCTAAGAGTACCTGATACAATGCCAGTACAATAAAGTAAGTATATATTCCTAAAACAACTAACTTGCAAGATGGTACTACTTTGTGGCCAGGTGTGGTAGGACATGCCCCTAGTCCTAGCACTCTGGAGGATAAGGCAGGAGGATCTGGAGTTTGAGGCTGGCCTGGGCCTCAAAAAGAAAAAGAGTGGGACAAATATGTATATAAAAATTTGAATATTCCTTTCCCCTAATGTCACCGCTTTACAGTCATAGTTCACAGGATAGACAAATCAAGCTAGGTTTTGAAAACCATTATATACACTGGGAAATTATGACATTGTCCCTTGCAATCTCTACATTTAAGAAAAAGGTCTTCTTAGCAGAAGTGACCAGTAGATGTCACCGCTGTTGCTGTCTTTTTTTGTAAAGTAAAAAGAATCAAAGGTTCAGAAATAACTTTCATGTCATAACAGGAGGACAAAATTATCACATTATGTCAATGAAGAGGCACGACCCTGTTTTCACTACATATAAGTTTATTGTGAAAGTAAATCACACACACAAACACAATATGGCTAATGGTGGCAAAGCAACTGAGTAGCTTAAGGCAAATTTTAATGGAGATGAATTTAGAAAAGATGATGCAAAGATGTAATTTTGTTTAAATACAGATTATGAAAAATATCAAATTGCATCAATAACTTAAAAAAGTAGCTTCAAAGCCTTCACTATTGGAGAAAAAGGGCTTATGATCTTAATGCCAGCATTAAGACAGACAAGCAGTGCAGTGCTAAATGATAGGAAAAATTCAGTATTTACAGAAAGATGGCAACAGGGATACTTGTAACATTTGACCTTATTTACTGGTGGAGTGAAAGCCCTTAATGAGAAACAATAAAGAAAAATGTTCCATGTTATTAAAAAAAAAAATTAACTGCTGAAGTAAAAAACCAAGGAGCTCTGTGATTAAAGTAACCTTAAAACACCACTGTAAGGATCACTTGAAAGGTGATTCCCCCAAGGGAAATCAGGGCACTGAGTGTGTAAACATGTGAGGTGAGTAACAAAACACCAATCAAATTCATTCATAGTACTTAGCTACACAAGATATGCATGGTCTTTTTTGATGTATTATTGTTTAATAACAATTTAAACACTCCTTACCATGCATGACTCTAAATATAAACAAATATTTTTATTCTGAGATACAGGATACATTTATGAATTATAAGACCTATATACAATGAAAGTCACATCTCCTTCATCAGTCAAGTATATTTATATGCTTTGACCCTAAATTCAATGATCTTATTCAGACTTCATTTTCTGAATTGTCACTTTTTTGAACTATTTAAATTAATGCCACTCTATTATGATAAAATACATTTTTGCAAAAATTCAGAAATGTAGTAACATTTAATGAGCATGACCATGAAAAGTATTGGTAACAGTGTGCCAAATGCTTTAGCACTTTTTTCCAGTCTTGTACTAAAAACAAAAAACAAAGTTGCACTTAATTTGACATAAACCCATTTAAAAAATATTCCCACACTAATTCATCTCAAAAGGGGCTATATTAATAGTCCTTTTTCAAAATACCATATATACTTGTGAATGTTTTCCCAAGAATAGTTAATGGAAGAAAATGTATTCTCTGCACAGATGAACATTTTCTAAGACTAGTCTTTCATCACCCAGTACTGTTTTTACAAAAGCATGCAATATAAAATACACATCAAAGCAACTATCTTAAACATGATTTTAATACAGTATCACCTTTGTAGCTGATTCATCACTGTCTCCAGTTTAATAAGCTGTTATACACATGAAGAAGATCCAGTATCCCTTTTTTAACTGACTTTTAAAAAAATCCCTGAATAAAACAGAAGCCAGCCTACGACTTCTTTAGGCATTTCAGTAGAATATTATCATTTATGGAGAGTATCTTCACCCAAACTCATGATTACAGAACAGAATCTAAAATATTTAGGGTAGATTATAGAGTTAACACCAATTTTAAAATGTTATATTTAAAAAGAAAAGAAAGGGTACTGATTATTAGTATTTAAAAGGATACTGCAACTTTAACCATTGTAAACTCTGTGTGAGAAGGCTGTGGCAGACAGCTCTATGCTATTAGGGTTTTAGATTGTAAATAATGCAAACACATCACAATTTTAAATGCTGTCGAATGTAAAAACACAAAAGAAAAACTAGGAAAACAAAACTAAACCAAGAATCTCCATCTAAAAAGAAGCGCATAGCCAACAAATCTAAAGTACAAAAAAAAAAAAATTAGAGCGACTGATTAAAGAAAACCCTCTGACATAAATTTTAATTTGTTTTTAAATGACATGAACTTTTAAATTAAAATAGAGGGAAAGAGAGCTTTACAATTACACAACTAAAATAATGCCAACAAGGTAAGCTTGCATAGAAAAAAATTTCAAATCATTACTGGCTACATGCTATAAAAAAATAGAAATGCAGGTATTATAATCATAGTGCAAACCATAGCAGTTTATGATGTCTTTTACTGCCTCAGGTTGAGAAATAGATGGTAGTACCTCCAGTTATCACAGTTTCTGGTCTTATAATGAAATATTCCTGCTAGCTACAAGCAAGTGTATGTAAAGATGGTCGGCACATCTGTTGTGCTACTATTAACGAAGTTTGAGATCATCACTACCACCTAAACTGGAACCAGGACTAGGGTCTTGCTGTCTTCTTGCCTGCAATGACAAAACAATAATTTAGGGTTAGAAAGCAGCTTAAAAATAAAAATGCTATACATGTAAAATATAAGACAAAGTAGCATATAAATTCACAACCAAGCACTTCTCAACCAATCTCTTCACAAGTCAGACAAAAGAACAATTAAAATTATGTATGACATATTTTGCTGGTTTCCTTAAAAATTATGGATCAATTATCATTTTACATTTTAAAAGTATTATCATAAATATGCACTATTTTTGAAAGAACAAAAATGTCTACATTTTCAGTTTTGGAACTACATAATTTAATGTCAACACAGCATAGTCAATCATAGAAACAAATTTTTCCTTTTGGTAATGTTAATATTTATTGAACAACAACTATATACTAGGTACTATTCTAAGAATCCCTCCCAATAATTTAAGACATAGGTGCTATTATTTCCCTGTTTTATAGATAAGAAATGGAGTCACTATAAATATATGATCTATAATTACACAACTAAAAATTAATCTAGAACTGCTATGGATAAAATACTGTCTCATAAGTAAAAACAGCTATTTGGTGTACTTATAATACCCAGAAGTATCCTCATAGCAGTATTTAACAATTAAGCAGCTTGATAATTAAAAAACACTCAGGATTTAACAAGATTCATAGTAAAATAAACATCCTATTAAACTGTCTTGGGCAAATTACTTAATAGCAAGCAATTAACATTGTGCATGACACTCTGCTAATACAAACCTTTTATATGACATAGTGTCTCTCTGGCACAGACAATGTTTTCTTTCAGTTTCTATTACAAATTCTGTGTTTTATTCTATAAGCTCTTAATGCCTCCAAATGTTGGTCAAGCACAAACATTGTTTGTATCCAGAACCTGGCTCCTCTGACACAGTTTTCCTATGTTAGATAAGGACAACTTCACTTTACCTACTGTTCAGACAAAAAACCTCGAGGCTATTATTATTATTATTGTTATTATTTCTGGTGGTAACAGGGATTGAACGAACTCAGTACCTCAGTACCTCACACTTGGAAAGCAAGCACAGTGCTACTTGAACTAAACCACTGGCCCTTGAGGTTATTCTTTTCTTTCTTCTTTTTTCTTTTTTTTTTGGGGTACTGGAGATTGAACTCCAGTCCTGTGCTTAGCGAGGCAGGCGGTGGAACCACTGAGCTAAATCTCCAGCCCCGAGGTTATTCCTAACAACATGGCCTTCTCTCACACCTAAAAATGCTGATGGCTCAACCTTTAAATATATCCTTAAGATGACTATTTCTGAATACCTCTGTCACTCTCGCTCTAGGCCAAGCTACACTTATGGTTCACTTGGATGTTCATGCTGTTAGGCAACTCTGTTATATGACAGCAACTGAGGTTAACTACAAATACCCATACAGTATCTTTAGCTAAATTGAATTATGAATTAATAGCACCAATTCTCCACAGTCTGTATCATTTTTGGAAATGATAAAATCACATGCTGATTTTATTTTATTTTTGGAACCAGGGATTGAACTCAGGACCTTGCACTTGCAAGGCAGGTGCGGTGCTGTGAAGCTAAACCCCTGGCTAGCATATGCTGATTTAAAAAAAAAGAAAAAAAAATTTGAGACAGGTTCTCACTATATGGCCTAGGCCATTACTGAACTTGCTATGGAGCTCAGGTTGGCCTTGAACTTTCCATCCTGCTTCAGCCTCCTGAGTGCCAGGATTACACAAGTTTGTGCCACCATGCCTGGCTCACATTCTGATTAAGATGTAAAACAAAAACAAAGAAAGATCTACAACAGCTTTAGACAGTGAATAGGATTGACCTTCAGAACCAAAGTCTCAACATATCACATTTGTATTGTAAGATCAGATTTTTATTTTTAGGAGCTGGGGATCAAAACCAAGGCTTTGTGCATGCTAAGCTTGTTTTCTACCTCTGAGCTACAAACCCAGTCAAGTCAAAATTTAAACAGAAGCTACAGCTAATTATGTCATCATTTATGTTATTTAGCAAAAACAACAGCTGCCTTATTTACTTTCAAGTAAATAAAATCCTACACTAATTCCTTCTAGCTTATAAATTTTGATGTATTTATCTAGCAGATTTTATCTACTTTTGTTAGCAGATGGCACACTGACCAAATTTTCGCATATTCCTTTCAATTAAATATGAACTCAGGTTAAAGTTGTTCTCCATGGTTGTAGACTAGGAGTTATGGATGTACATGCATTAGAAAAACAATTTATGTTTTGTATGCAATCAATGCTAAGCGTGGTGTAAAGACAGATCAATTCTACAGAATCAGAAATGGCAATGTAAGCATCTAGTTTCAGTTAAGGAAGGATAGAAAGGGGGTGAGCCACGAGGAAACACAGAAAAATCAATTCCTATTATGTATTTATAAATCACTACTAACCTACTAATAATACACTGTGAAAAGAACAGTTCTGCTTTCAGCTTTATAAGAATACTTTTCAAATTATATTAATAATAGGATGGCTCCAAATAAGTGACAAAGAATAGTCACCAGCAGCTGGAGTTTTCCTTATGGTTATAGCTGTGCAGAAATAGCTGTGGTTTGTTTAAAATATTGTATTTGTAGCTCAACGTGTACTATGGGAGGTTGAGGCAGGACTGCAAATTGAAGCCCAGCCTGGACAATTTAGTGAGGCTTTGTAGAAATAAAAAAGGACCAGAAATGCAGTTCAGTGAAAAGTCCCTGGGTTGAATCTCTGAAGTGGGGAATAAAAATCATAGAGATCACAAGCAAAGTTGTTCTACTATTATCTGTGGATTTAGTTTCTATCTGCCTTGTGATGACAAAAATGAGTAGTCAGGCACGTTTATACATGCTTATAATCCCAGAACTCTAGGAGGCTGGGGCAAGAGGGGCCAAGTTCCAGCCCAGTATGGAAAACTTAGTGAGACCCTGTCTGAAAAAAAGAATGAGGATGATAAGATGGAACAGAGACAAATAAAGAGTCAAGAATAAGAACAAAGAAGGGAAGGGAAGCCTGATGGTTATGAATGAGAACAGAAGGATGATTGCAAGTTGAGGACTGGAAGGAAAAACTGCTAGGTGGGAAGGTGTATAGACTGTCATATGAAGGAGACAAACACAGAAACAGACTTAGGTTCAGTGAAATAGCTTCCACAGGACAGAAATCCCACAACTAGATAACCTGCCTTGATATTCCTATTCTGGCAATTTCTTATGTAGGGTATTGTGAAAGGAATTCCTCTACTGTTAATAAGCTAGACTAAATGTCCTCATAGAGGTCTCTTTTTACCAACCTAAACCATCAAGTCCATAGTTTCTTTCTCCCTAGTCAACCCACATGGGTACTTGATTCTAATCTTTCATTAATATTACAGTTTTAAAATAAATCAACCTCCATCAGCCTCATTCAGCATATGTTTTGTCTATCTATTTGACTGGGAATTGAACCAGGGTCTTAACACTGAGTTACATCTTTAGCACCACCTCCTCCTTCTGGAGATATGGTCTTACTATGTAGTTCAGGCTGTCCTTGAACTCATGGCAATACTCCCATCTCCACCTCCAGAGTGCTGGGATTACAGGTTTGCACCACTATACTGGTTCCAACTTCCTCCTTACATTTTAAATTTTGACACAGGGTCTTGCTAAATCACTTAGGATAGGCTTCAACTTGTGGTCTTCCTGTTTCAGCCTCCCACAGTGCTGGGATTATAGCCATGTACCACACTTGGCTTAAAAAAAAATCTATGAAAGAATTAGTCTAGACATTTTACTACAGCCTCTTACTACCGGTTGCTACTGTTTTCTTTTTCTTTTTTTTTTTGGTACCAGGGATCGAACTCGGGTCTTTGCGCTTGCAAGGCAGGCGGCAGAACCACTGAGCTAAATCCCCGGCCCGCTCCTATTTTCTTTCAGTATACCATTACCTAAAAATACGGCAAATACAGTTTCTAGGAGGAGGTTGTGAAATAACTCCAAAGGAGAGAAAAAGAACAGTTACCAACTAGCAACTGAAGTTTCCCTAGTTAGAATCTTCCCTGAATAGTCAGGGATATATAGATACAGCGAACACCAGGGGTAATCCAAATGAGCAAGTTTTTGGTTGGTCTCTATTCTTTTATTATTCAAGTCATTAAAACAATTTTCATGGGCTGGGCACAATGGTAGATGCCTATAATCTCAGCACCTGGGAGGCTGAGATAGGAGGATTACAAGATGGAGGGCCAGCTTGGGTTACATACAAGCTTGAGGCCTGCCTAAGCTACACAGTGAGACATCTGTTCCCCCCAAAAAGGCCAAAAGAAAACAAAGACAAAAAGGTAACTCTTCATGGGAAAAATGCTCTAATAATTACAAACAGGTACAATTCAGTGAGGATGTCCTACCTCTGGATAAATCAGCTGTTCACTCTGTGTTTCATATTTGGCTGAAAGTCACAACACAAAATTACATAATGTGACAGTAACAAAGTACTTCAGAGATCTGTTCAACTCTCACCATAAAGATAAGCCTGAGATCAAGGATAAATGAAATTCTCAAGATCACAGAGCTGAAGGCGGAGTTAGCACCTCTGGAAAAGATGGACTTTTAACTTAACAGTTACCACTAATGCCAGCCTCTTTGGTCACTGCTATTTCTCCCTGTTGTCAAAGCCTGAGGAAACACAAGACAGTAATTAAAAGTCTTAACAAGAGACTGAAGAATATGCTTTTCCCAAGTCCATCAAAAAGCTAAAATGAAATTTAAAAAAAGCTAAAATCAGGGTCAGCAGAAAATTATAAACACCTATCAGATAAATAGACTGTGAAGGCTGGTCCAACAGGCATGTTAAAAAAAAAGTTCTTGGGTGGGGGATTTAGCTCAGTGGTTCTGGTGACTGCCTTGTAAGTACAAGGACATGAGTTTGATCCCCACAGTACCAAAAAACAAAACAAAACAAAAAAATAGTTCTTAAAAAGCATTCAACTTCAAGCAGTGCATGGTGACACACCTGCAATCGCAGCACTTGGGA